TCCTTGGCTGGCTGGGGAGGGACCCTGTAAGGGAGGGAGGCCTGATCAAGGATAGCAATCGAGTCACCCAAGTAGGATTCGTAAGTAAGCCCAGGATGATCTGCCACTGCCTATTGCTCTCTGAGTAGCAAGCTCAGGGTGGCTGAAACCAGGTCAATGGCTCCCCATCCGCGTGGAACCCTCCCGGGTTTTGGCACCAAATGTTGGGTCGCCGAAGGAGGAACACATGAGACCAGAGTGGTGAGGAATTACAAATTTATCCGATCATCTGCACACCAGGTGGCTGAGCCTGGGTGACTCCAGCACCCAGTGAGGGGAGTCAGTGGCTTTTAAAGGACTTTTGGCCGGCTTTTTTCTGGGCAGAGACTTTTTTATGCATACCTGGAGGGGAGAGAATGAATGTGTTCACCGTAAATGAGATGTGGTCTCAGCAAAGGGAATGTCCATAGTGAATTGACCTGAAAACCAGTTCTCAGGGGAGAGGTATCAATTCAATTGCTCTATCAAACCTAATAATTACTAGTTGAGAAAAATGATGTTCTAGTAATAGACTATGATAGAGAGATATGCATCAGTCCCTCTGCCTTTGAACAAGTTGATCATGTACCAGCCAGGGTTTGGCCAGTGAAAGGAACTACTCTAGATATTTCAAGTAGGAAGAGATATAGCCCAGGGATACAAAGTTTCAAAGACCTATTGAAGGTCAGGGGAAGTGAAGTTCAGAGACAAAGGCAGGAATTCAGGAAATGCAAGGATTGAAAGAAGCTGCAGTTGATGACATGACCTTAGTGGGTGATGCTAAGGGTATTCCAGGTAGTCATTTTCAAAATCACATCTACTGTCTGCAGAACAACATGCTCCTAGCTGCAGCTGCCGATGGGGAATATGGTTTATCTCTTTTACCTTCTAAATCGCATTTGAGGGCTTCTCTTTGACAGAATATGAACCAGAATTTCTGTTAAGAGGAGAGTTTTTGAAATATAGTTTCCTGGCCTCTAGCATTACCTAGAAAGTGAGAATCTGAATGAGCAGGGATGATTTTGATTGTTAACAAGCAGAAGCAGGCATAGCATATAAGAATCTGGTCAGCCCAGCATCTCTTTGAAGTGGTATTTTAGGTCCTAAACAGCCCTCCCTAATAACATATTATGCAAAAATGAAAATGGTCTATATTTATGCTATCCAATATGGTAGCCACTAGAGACATGTGGCTATTAGATACTTGAAAATGTGGCTAATACAATTAAAGAACTGAATTTTTAGTTTTACTTAATTTTAATTTATTTAAATTTAAACTTAAGTAGCTACATGTAACTCATAGCTACTACTTTGGGCAATGTAGATCTAGAACTCTCTTTGGTCCTATGCCCCTCTGCCACTCCATTAAATGGAAGATATTGCCTTGTCTGTCCTGAAGTGGCCCTGATCCTGCCATCTAAATATTTGTTGTATTTGTGTGTCCAAAGTATGATTATCTGATGGAGTTGGGGGAATTATTTCACTAAACTAAGAGAATTGATCCTCTGACTATCTTTTTTTTTTAAATATATTTTATTGATTGTTTACAGAGAGGAAGAGAGAGGGATAGAGAGTTAGAAACATCAATGAGAGAGAAACATCGATCAGCTGCCTTTTGCACACCCCCTTTTGGGGATGTGCCTGCAACCAAGGTACATGCCCTTGACCAGGAATTGAACCTGGGACTCTTCAGTCCACAGGCTGGCGTTCTATCCACTGAGCTAAACCAGTTTCGGCCTCTGACTACTTTTTGTGCCAACTTGCAAATGTTTATTAGCAAGTTGAATTCACTCTGAGATTTGCTTTCACCTTAACATACAATGGTAGCAAGGTAGCTGGGGAGACCACTAACATTTACTTACAGAACTTGATAAACTGTGACAGTTATTTAGCCAGATCAATTTGCAACATACACTTTTCTTTGAAATCTGCAGAATCTTTGCTCTTAGCAAATATTAGCAGATGACAAAACAAAAACTGCATAAATATTAATATAAAAATTAATAAGGGAAGGTAGTTGCCCTCCACTGAACACTTCTTTTTAATGTGAGCATATTTAAGAGTGTTTTTTTAAAACTCATGCGTATAATATAAATGTTCTGTGTATAAAATGGTTCCTAATTTGTGTGGTTGAACCTGCATTTCACAGTGTCACACAGACAGCCCAATATTCTACAAAAGATTCCTGGATGCTAAATGTATTATCACTTAGACATCCTTAGGTCTACTTGCTCCATATTGTAGGCATTTTAAGCTCCTTTTGATTTAGTCTCCCAAAGTGCCTAGAGTCATGTTAGACCAAGGCATGTGCTTTCGTGAACACATGTTACATGCTTTCTGCCATACTGAAACAGAACATTAGCAAATAAGATTGTCTATCATTTATTTGCCTATCAGATAAAAAGAAAATGATGCTTTAAAGGTTACTGTTTTTCATTTTTTCTTACACTTCTGGTTTAACTGTCTTTCTGCATTTAAAAAGTTGCTCACAAGATCTCAAAAACTAGTGTTACTTATTAATTTAAGATGTCAGTATATCATGGAAATTATGTCACATTATTTGGGATTCTGTTTACACAAACATTTATATCCTCATTAATTATCTCTTCACTTGAAACTGGATAAAACAAACTTGGAATTGTTATAAAAATGCCATATATATATATATATATATATATATATATATATATATATATATATATATATATAAAACAACATATATATATATGCCAGTCAGAGAAAGATAAGTATCACATGATCTCACTCATATGTGCAATCTAATGAACAAAATAAACTGATTAACAAAATAGACTCAGAGATATAGAACCATGGAACAGACTGATGAATTTCAGAGGGAAGGTGAAGGTGGGGGAATTGGGGGGTGAGAGATTAACTGGGGAATTTATATGCATAACCCATGGACACAGACCACAGTGTGGAAGGGAGGGGTGGGTGGAGGGTGGAAGGGGCCAATATGGGGTGGGGGTCAAAGGGAGCATCTGTAATACTTTCCACAATAAAGATAGATAGATGATAGATGATAGATAGATAGATAGATAGATAGATAGATAGATAGATAGATAGATGCAATGGAATGCTTAAAAAAAAAGAATGCCATGAATGATATCATGAGAGGAAAAGGTTAAGGAAACCAGTCACTGGAACATTTGCTTAGTCTGCAAAGCCTCCTATAACTGCCTTCTAAATGACTCTTCAGCCTCCATACAATTCATATTTATACATGCGACATCCAGGATTAGTGATTTGCAGTTTCAATGATTCTTTGCAGACATTCCCTCATTATCACAGCCCCTTTGTGTTGGATATTAGCTTTGCTGTTAACCAAGGGGTAGATTGGAGGTAGGGCCACCAGGTGGGGAATGTGTGTCAGTTTCTGGGGAAGTTCTCTCCATACTGCTCAGCATAGATGTTGGGAGTAAGGTTGGGTGTTGGGTGTGCCTGTGAGAAAATATACTATTTGTGCCAGGACCCGTTTGGCTCAATGGATAGAGTGTCGGCTTGGGGACTGAAAGGTCCCAGGCTCGATTCCGGTCAAGGGCATGTACCTTGGTTGTGGGCATATCCCCAGTAGGGGGTGTGCAAGAGGCAGCTGATCGATGACTCTCTCTCATCGATGTTTCTAACTCTCTATCTCTCTCCCCCTTCCTCTCTGTACAAAATCAATAAAATATATTTTTTTAAAAAAGAAAGAAAGAAAATATACTATTTGTATGAATTACAACTACTCAAGAGGCAGTGGGGAGAAAAGCCAGAGAGGGAAGAAAGACCAAAGGAAGAGACTCAATCCAGAAGAGACAGTGGAAGTCTCTATGAGGAACAATTGGGGCCTGTCATTCTGCCTCTACATTACCATATCAATGCATTTTCTTATTTAGGGGGCTCCCTCATTTAGCCCCTGATAACTCACAGTCCCTCAGACATGGATGACATTCTCACCAATCAGACTGTATGCGTTGGTCCTATTGGCCCAGCACACTTGTGGGGCTTCCAAGTGAAGATAATACTTACTGATTGATGTGATAAGATGTTACTTTTATATCAGCCCTCAGATTCCAATGGTGGGTGCTTAAGTCTCATTCAACTTCTTGTTAAACCACATATGAGGCTTTAATGCAAAATCAAAGACTCTTCAAGCCAATGGAAAGCTATCAGGTCAGTATGCTGCCATGATAACTTAATCTATATTAAAATAAATTCATCACTTTATTCAGTTCAATCATCAAACCTTTTGTTCTTAGCTGCAAGGAGGACTTAGATTACGATAAGTGTCTGTCTTCTTGGGTATTTCTAAGACAAGTGAGCTCCTTGATTTTCAGTGTCTCCACGAGCCTTATAACAGTGCACAATCAATGTGCTGAAGTGATTTATGAAAATCTTTATGTTCTCTCTGCCCATGGTAAAATTTGATGATGCTGAACATTCTATTTTGATCCTTAAATTGGAAAAACAACACAATGAATGAGGAACCATAATCTATTAGGTACCATTGCTTGCTATTGAATTACTTTACATGAATTGATGGTGGAATTGATTGGCTTTTTATAAGAGTAATTAAAAGGACTTCTGGATTTTAATTCCTAAATAAGATTGTATTTCCTAAAACAAAGCTTTTGATGTTTTGAAAGGCAAATTTGGAACCAATCTAAGCCATCTGTCAAGGTGTGTGTTTGTGTGTGTGTGTGTGTGTGTGTGTGTGTGTGTGTGTGTGTGTGTGTGTGTTTTCATTTTTCCTTATAAGCAGACTTGAAATTGTTCTTGGAATCTAACTTCAGATTGCTTGAGAGAGCTGTGACTGCTAATTTCTTAAAAATACACACCATGCTCCTTTGTTATATTGCTAATATTGATCTCTCCCCCATTCCCCTCACACACACACACACACACACACATACACACATTCTATCTTTATCTAGGGATGCAGAAGGACACTGCTAATGCTCCCTTCACTTATCTCTTTGCAGGCTTGTTGATTGGTGCTGGCTGTGCCCTCTATCCCTTGGGCTGGGACAGTGAGGAAGTTCGGCAGACTTGTGGCTACATTTCTGGCCAATTTGACCTGGGTAAGTTCTTTTCATAGAAGGCACTCCTTTTAGAGAAGAACCTATCTGATCTTTTATAGGAGCAGAAGTTGGAAAAGGAATGGAAGAAAAATATATTGCAGCCAGAGTCATGTGTAACAATACCTATACAGGGTCATGTGTAACAATATCTATCCTTCTGTTTTAATGAACAGTCATTGATAATCAACTATCTGAATTATGGGAAATATTGTAGATACAAAGAAAATAATCCTTGCTCTGAAGTATTTATATTTATTAATTCATTCAAAAATCATGTTTATTGCTCATTGCAAATGTTAAAAATAGTTGTCTATGTAATTCCCATTCTATCTGAGAAATAAAGCAAACAAAACCATCAGTAAGAGCTATGCAGTTTATAGCAATCTACACTCTAGAGCAACAGGCAGCTTTATGACAGGGATAAAAATCAAACTGGTATTTGAAGAAAGTGACTTGTGAGGATTTTCTGGCAGTAGACACAAACACCTTGCTGGCAAGGATTATGGAGAGCAAAGGCACAGGGGAGGAATGAGAAGACTTCATTAGGAGACCATACAGAAACTGTAGAGGCGGGAATTCACCCATTGATGAACGGGCTCATGAATTTTTCTATGTACTAATTAGAAAATTTCAGATATTTATCATGTATAGATACATTGTATTCTGCTTAGCAATCTATAAATTTTTTAATATCTTTTTGTTGATTTCAGAGAGGAAAGGAGAAGGAGAGAGAGATAGAAAAATCAATGATGAAAGAGAATCATTGATCGGCTGCTTCCTGCATGCCCCCAACTGGGGATCAAACCTGCAATCCGGGCATGTGCCCTTGACCAGAATTGAACCTGGGACCCTTCAGTCTGCAGGTTGATGCTCTATCCACTGAGCCAAACTGGCTAGGTTTCAACCTATAATTTTTTTTCATACTACATGGTTTCACCATTATAAGTTGTAATGATAGGATAATATTTCAGTTGGTTTGTAAACCTACATTAATTTCTCTTCTTTATTTCTTTCTTATTCTAGTTTCCGTTATTTAAAGACATAGTATACTAGTAATGAGTAGTTTAATTAATATGTTTTTTTCTAATTGAATTATTTTCTTAGGATGTTCTTCTAAAATTGGTGTTATTAGAACAAAAACTATGAACCCATAAGAATCATTGCTATATGATAACAAATATTTTCCCCTAATATGTGGATAGATGGATTGTTTTTTACCTTCAAAGCATAGTGAGTTACTAATTTAAACATCGACTTTTCACATTAAATATTTTACTTTTAGAATAAAAATTTTGAGGAAATTGGTCTAATGGCAGTATTACCATATCCCAAATTGTTTAAAATAGGTTTATAAAATTGTTTCTATTAGATAACAAGGGGGGGAGGGGATGGACAGATCTGATACCCTATCAAGGGTCTGTGAATTGGAAATGAAGCAATTTTTATTTGACTCTATGGATGAAAAACACCCTGCTTCACTCAAAATAGCACGTGCTCTTTTGGTAGAGAATATGGTGCCTACTTTGTCCAAAAGCAAACTGCCCATTCTTCCTCCTGGATGATGAGGCTTTCCTAAGACTGGGCTCATTTGTGCTTGCCATAAATTAACTGAAGGGGAAAATGCTGGGATAAAGTTGACTATCAGCATTTTGTTTTATTTTTTGTTTGTTTTTGGAAATCAAACTGTGTCCAGGGGTGGTATTTTAACATAGTGTTGAGCATTTTCCTTCCTCTGGTGTTTGCAGCTTTCTTGGCTGTTTAAAACAGGCCTCAACTTGGTTAGAATATTGCAGCTGATCTCTCTTGTTATTGTGTGTTGCTATACTAATCATCAGGTTATAATGAAATGGAGATCTTGTTGTTTATCTTCATTACTGCACCCCAATGTTCTATATCTTCTCAGCATTGTGGATTAAAAATGTCAAACTTACAAAAAAAAACAAAAAACAAAAAACAAAAAAAACTCTTGCCTCTTTACTAGAGGTAATAATATCTTGTTATTAAACTCACTGAAACCATTTTAGTAATTTAAAAACTGTAATGTCATTTTAATTTTTGCCTTTTTATTTATAAACTAGTGGCCCAAAGCATGAAATTCACGCATGGGGAGGGGGTGTCCCTCAGCCCGGCCTGCACCCTCTTCAATCTGGGATCCCTCAGGGGATGTCAGAGAGCAGGTTTCTGCCTGATCCTAAAGGTTGAGGTACCCCATTGGTGTACAAATTTATGCACTGGGCCTCTAGTTTACACATAAAATTTGTTTCTAGGTCCCCAGAACAGGCATTTTGAGTGTATTGAGTTTGCTTTCTCCTGATTACTATTATTTTTGCAGACTCTGCTATCTTTACTTTAGAAAAAAAAAATGTAAAGAGAAACTGTAGCATAGAGATATCACTATGCCTATCTCACTGGACTGTCTATGTTTATTATCTTTAAGAAATTGTTACTGTTCCCTGAATACTAATAAAGGCTGAACTTCAGTGAGTGAGTGAAATCACAGATTATGATTGCAAATTTGAGATTGGACGGCCCAGCATGCATGTGAGGGTGAGCATTCTCAGTAAGGAGAGCTCTGGGCCTCACTATTAGTGGCATACACTGACCTCTGCCACTTCTGAGAATAGCTTACTTCTGCCTCCTCTTAAAAGAGAGAGTGTGTGGCCACATCTTCCTCCCAGAGGTTGGGAAATGTTAACGATAAGGTTCATGCCCTCCTTATTGTGGAATATGGGGCACTTTCTTGGCATGCCTTATTGAAAGATGTTACTCTCTTTCTAGAGTACATCCTGAAAGAAATCATTGCTTCTGTTTCCACATGAAGATTATTTAAGGGGCACATTCATTCACTCGCTCAGCCAACAGATATTTACGGGGTACGGCCTGTGCTAGATGCTTGGGACTCGGCACCAGAAGGAATTTAAAAAGACACTGTTCATGGCTCCCAGGGAACTTAAAACCTAGCAGGAGTGGCAGATATTCAAGGAGATAATATATGTGGGAAAGGAAAGTGTCAGATAAAGCAGTGGGCACTGTGGTTGCTTTGCCGATATTATTCTGCTCTAGTTGGTTACTCCAAACCAGAGGCTGGCAGACATTTCTTTAAGAGTCAGATAAGTAAATATTTTCAGTTTTATGAACCATATATTCTCTATTTTAACTACTGAGCTCTGGGGTTGTAACATAAAAGGCACTTCACTTTTGAGTGGGTATGACTGTGTTCCAATAAAACTTTATTTACAAAAACAGGTGCTTGTACTGTATTTTGAAGCCCCCTGACTTCAACCAAAGCATACCCCTGACATGCCAGAAACATCTTCATTCCAGATGTGCTCCTTTATTGATCCCTTCAGCCCCCAGGTCAGGGTTTAGGTCAGTCCCATCCAATTATCCTAGAGTATGCTACTAAATACTACAATTTTCTTGTTGTGTAGTGTTGTAATATAAGGTGGCAAGCACTGTAAATTAATTTTCATTATCCCACCTCTTAACACTAGCATGCTATGGGAAGCCTTAAGCCCATTTGGGTCAGTGAGATTAGAGGAAATGCTTCCAGAGATTTCTGAGGAAAAAGGAATCACACGTCTAAGGGAAAGGCTCCAGAAGCGATGTTCTCCCTCCCTCTGATTGTAATCTCTGATCAGCTGGAGCCGTAGGAAGGGCAGCTTGGTGGGCAGAGAATTCAGCCTGTGGGCAGTCATCCCTGAAGCAGGCCTTCCCTAGGAATTCCCAACATAGCTGACAACACAGTAATTCATTTCCTTATGGGGTAAAGTTTTGGGCATGCTTTCTCTTATTTGTAGCTAAAAGCAGCCTGACTGATATTTTATTTGGTTATATCACCATTCAAGGGGGTCTGGCCTCACCTGGGAGCTTGCTAAGGAAATATATTATTTTTAGCTGAGCCCTTAAGGTTGTAGAGGGTTTAGGAAGGTGAAGATGAGGGTGGGCATTTTTCAGGGTGGCTCGGGGATAGGTTACAGAGGTCAGGAAGAAGAGCCAGGAAGGAGGCTATGACACTGCAGATCTGCTTTAGGGACTGCATCCTTGTTTCAACCAGTTTTAATTCCATGTCTCAGCCATGATAAAGGTAACACTTTAGTGTAGAGAGAGTAGTGGGGCCTCCTAGGGAAAGAACACTTAAACTGAATCCAGGTAAGTCGTAGTTAGGCAAGGAAGGGTCTTCATAAAGAGTTCACATTTGTGGTTGTAATGTAATATAATAGGAGTCTAATGGAAGTTAATTTTTTAAATGCCTCCTTTTTTTGGAAAGATGATTTTGGGAAAGATGAAAGTGCTCTTTCATATTTTCAATCCAACGAGATATCTCTTTTTCTCTAGTCTGAACAGTGACCATCCCACATTTCTTTATACTCATTATTTTTAGCTCTGTGACTCCTGATTAATATTTGTTCTTTTCTCAAATCTAACTGCCTTTGAGAAAACTGATTTGCAAGTTATTGGAGAAGAATGGGGGGGAAATGGGGGGAAAAATAAAATTTGATTTTTAAGCTTTTTCAACCTAGGTGATAGTGGGTGCTTCATAAGCTGAGTGACCCAGTAATCCTGATGTCCACACAGAAGTCTCTGTTTCTGCCAACAACAACAGCAGAAAGAAGACGCTGTTGTGAGCTTCTGTGATAGTAACACAGCTGTGCACCAGAGTGGGACTTGCCTGGGAAGTACTTGCAAAAAGCAGCAGTTACTGTCCACCACTGGATTCTGGAAGAGATCCCTAACGTTTGATGCATTCTAGTCATTGCTTACAGTAAATTTATGATCCCATTCTGATATTGCTTTGGGGGAGACTGGGTAGCAGTAAAGTATTGAATATGCATTGAGTTTTAGCCAAATATAAAGTTGTTAGAGCAGCAATGGCTTTTTGCTGGACCTGTTCCAGACTTTTGACACTTAAGGCCACGTCACTGAAGGTCACTTAGAAAGCTGTTCCCTCACACAGACAGCCAGTGCAAGGAGATGACAGAGGAAAGCCAGGCAGCGGC